GGACATGGTCCTGAATGGCCCTGCTTGAGCATGGTGTTTGGACCAGGTGACCTCCAGAGGTCCCTTCCCACCTTGACCATTCTGTGATCTGTGATATGGGCTTGTTATTTATTTACTTTTTTTTTTTCCCCCGGCTATTCCAAAATTAGCTTTTTAAGCTTATTCCATTTGTATTTATCCTCCTCTTTCCAGGCTGGAGAAATAAACAAACAGAATTTAAAGTTAGTGGATGAACTTTTTCTTAGGGAAATGAAATACATGTAAATGGTCTCCAGTGTCTGTCCAGTCACATTTGACAGAGGAGGAAGGGTCGAAGTTGTTGTCAGAGTTAACATTTGGGAAGACAGGCAGGCTGAGAACGAGACACTCCATGTCTCAGCAGCAGGAACAATTTCAGTTGGGGTTTGCATCTTTGGGGTCCCCCGGGAGGCAAACCACAGCAGCCAGACTTCAGGAGTTCCTCTTGCACCAGGTGAGCGGGCTGGCTGGGTGTTCCTCACCAGAGAAGCACAAGGCTCTGCTCTGACCTGGACCTACAGCTGGCAGAGCAACAGCAGCCTTGCTCTGGGGATTCTTGCACAATCTGTTCTTGAGTTTGGGTTTGTATTCAATCTCAGATGCTCAAGTAACACGTAATTCACGTAATTGTATTCTGTTTGTTCTATCAAATCAATATAAGTGTTGCCCGTTTCATTTCTTGAACTGCATTGAGTTGCAGATTTCTTTGTCTTTCATGTTTCTAGGAAAAAGAAGGTCGAAGTCTGGATTTAAGCAGTGGGTTAGTGGTGACTTCATTAAACAAATCATCAATATCCTTCTCCTAGAACAGTTATTCCACTACTGTGTTCTCCAGATGAGTGCTCTTGCTTCCATTTGGACATTAAAACACTAAAGGTCACAGGAATCAAGGTGCTTTTAGATGATGGAGATTCATTCACCCTCCAGACTTTACCTTCAGAAGCCTGATCGTAGAAACATCTGTTTGTCGATTCTGGTTGGTATTCAGAGAGCACAGAAGATGACAATTTCACCTCCACTAGAGTAACTGTTTTTAAGAGATACACAGTGTTTGTACCCCAGCCTGACCACTGCGCATGCTGAGAAGCCCAGCACACCGAGAGGACCATTTGAGTTGATGTCTTCACCATCTCCCCAAAATGTAGAACTTTGAAGACAGTGTGAAAAGAGGATGTCCCTGCAGCTCTTGGAAGGACAGTAGGCGAGTACATAAGCTCTGAATTCCTCCATGTCAAAGTTTTGTGGTGTTTTGGTTTTGTTGTTTTTTAATACTTTATGTGATATTAAGCACTTCAGCTTTCTAAAGGAAGAATAAGTTTTAATATGTAGATGCTCTAGCATAAGACTCTCTCAGCACTGACAAATGATATTTTAGTGTGTAAATCTGTCTGCGCTCTGGCTTTTGTAAGTCTCATCCTTCATGTGCACAGGTGTCTGGCTCCCTTTTGTTCAGGCCCCAGCTATTCCACACTGGAAAAAAAAAACAAAAAACAGGATAACCCCAAATCTGTCCCCTGTATGCAATTTCTTGCTTTTCTAGTGCAGCAATGCATTTCCCAGCATCCACTGGAAAACAGAAGAGTGCTTTGCTGGTGGAACTGTCACAGGATCCCGCGTGCATCTCTGTTGGTGGGTGGAATTAAACTGTATTTGGAGCTACAAAGCAGGTTAAAATAAGATGGACTTAGGATGCCATAACATTAAATAGGTTCGTGGACAGACCAAAATGGCTTTTCAAGTCTGGATAGGACCAGGGTAGTGTTCTAGTACTTTCTGTACCAAATTTATGATTGATCTCATTAGTTTTCCTACATGTTGTGCTCATGGCTCTGCAGTTTGTCTGAAATTATTCTAGGATGTTGAAATTCTCTCATACATCTACAAACCCAGATATATTAACACACAAGCTACCCTTCAAAAAAAAAAAAGTTACCCCTTCAGAATTTTTTTATCTCCTTCAATAAACTTATACTTGTCAAATTTGTGTTATGAAAGCCAGAAGCTTTTTGGAGGGGGAGGAGGGGGGAAAGGAAAACAAACAAAAAAGCCTCACTGAACTGGAACCAAACAACTTTTTAGAAATCCTTCTGGTTGTGTTTTGGACCAAGGCAGTTTTGTAGGCTTTCTGTTCTGGAGAACACCACACAAGCTCATTTTGATTCTCTTGAGCAGTGGTAACCTGCTAAGGCAACATGAGTAGATCCCTAAAAATGCTAAATTGCAATACAGAGGTTTCAAATGCATGTTCCCCAGCCTCCTGTCAGCAGCAGTCAGGGAAGCTTCGTTGGCTGGGGTCATCCCACCAGGTTTCACAGGTTTTTACAGGTCTACCTACCACCCATGCTGTGAAAAGTGACTTTTCCATGTGCTCACACACGCACGGGCAGTTGGTGAGCAGGGATGGTGCTCTGAGATGCTTATTCCCAGGAAATAAAATGATGACAATGTGGTTTTAGTACAAACGAGACACAACTTCTCTGCCGTGTGAATCCTGAGGGTAACATCAGAGACACACAGGGTGAATTTCAGTGGGTTTCTGCTGTTAGTGCACAGGCTGGAGTTTTTCAGTGAACTTTTCACCTGGTTATATGATGGGTGACCTTTTCATCTCAAGAGCAGATTTTATCAAATTTTAAAAGAACCCTGTTGAGATATTTGAATCTTTAATGGTTGAGCTAAAATAATTCTTTGCAATGAAGGGTGAAAATACCTGTTGTGGGGTTTTGGTTTTTTTTACTGAAAAAAGTTTTCATTTTGTTCTTGTTAAAAATGTTTCATCTAATTCTTTTAATGGAAGTGAACACCTCAGGCAGCTATCTTCTGAAGGGGGTTCTGTTGTGTTTTAAGTGAAGTCTCTTCTAATTTCACAGCCAACAAGGATGAGTTCTTACTCTGACCAGGGGCATTGTATCTGGGTGTTTTGTGCCATACCTTCCTGCCTCTGTTCTGCTCTGTCCTGGCTGTGTTTTCTTTGGGCTTCTGTTCCCAGAGGAGCTTGCCCCTCTGTGACGCTCCTGCCACTTGTCCCTGGTTCAATGCATGTTCCATCAGGCAGAGAGGCTTTTGAAAGGGGTTAAATTTCTTTATATGGTTAATGAACTGTGTGCAAGTCTGGCTTATGGTGGAAGAGTTTAACCCTGTCATAGCAATGCATGAAGGGGCTAATTTTCCTACAGTTGGTAATTTTTAGATTTATCTTCATAGTTGTGGAAACTTTGACCCTTCATTTCACACACTGAGAACCAAATAAAGGCAGAGTGGCCAGGCGCTAATACAGTTTCTCCAGTCCTTTTTCAATGGATACCTTCTGTTAATGCAGTTGAATTTCCTGACCTTCTTTAGACAAGCTGTTAGAACTCCTCCTGTGCAGGGCACGCAGTGGTGAATCATCCCATAGCTCTCTGTGCACCAGCTTTCCTGGGTAAAGATAACTGGAAACAAATTTAACCAATTTCATAGAATCATTGGGTTGGAAGGGACCTTGTAAAAAGTCCCTCCCCAGCTTTCTTATAGGCGCTCTTAATCTATTTTTAATGTGCCAGGAGAGTGTGAAGTGCTGGAGTGTCTGGCTGGCCATCACTTTGCATTCTGACAACCACCAGCCCGTGACCCCAAGGAAAAAAAAAGGGGAATTTCTTGTCCGTGGTGTGGGGGAGCAGCGTGGCTCTGCCTTCTCCCAAGGTGCTGACCCCGTGCGTGTTCCCAGAGCATTTGTAGGCTTAGTTTTAATTTTTGAAGACCACCTGTAACTAATGGGCAAAAGGGACTTGGGGTTAGTGGGAGTTGCTGTTAACTCTGTTGCGTGTGGTGCTGAGCCTGGACAAGGGGGCGTGTCAGAGCCCAGGCACCTCTCCCACATCCTCACAACCCTGGATGCACACTCCATGTGCCCACGTAGAGCT